GAGACAGTGACATATTAAAAATGTGATAAAAATCTCATAGATATCACAATCCCATAGAAAATGTGATGAAAGTTTAAATATAATTCATAAGTAATATAAAATAAAAAGAACATTTATGAATTAAAAAATCCCATAGAAACCTGCTAAAAAAATTGTCATTATTTTTTAGCAATTGTACAATATAAAATAATTTAATAGAATTCTAAATTTTATCGAGACGAAAATAATATTGAATTTGCATATCGCTATTGAAACAAACTGGAAAATGTTTTGTAATCAACTACAAACGGTCTTTCATCTGTGTTATTTATTTGTTAATATAAAAACAAACAAATGTATATATATAGTAAATCACATTTTTAAGATCCATATTTATATATATATATATATATAATTAAGATAATAGTTTTGGATTTTCTAAATCTCAAATCACCATTATATTTGTGGTTTTCTAAATGGATAATAGTTTTAGGCTTTTCTAACTCAAATCACCATTATCATATAAATTTGTTCAAGGTAATTGATAACAAAATAAGATAATCATCATATTTCCGAATTAAATAATTAGGAAATAAAGAACATACACATCAATGCAATATCAGATGTATATAGTTACTAATAAATGACATCATAAAAGAACAAGAAATTTACTTAATAGATATATATATATATTTTCACAAAAATTTAACTTTAAAATTTGTCAATTAAATGTATATTTAAAAAAATACTTTCTAAAAAGATTATTTTGTTTAGAATTATATATAATAAAAAATTCAGAATATATCAAATTTAAAGAATAATTATGAATTAATAATCATATTTTATCATTAAGTCTTATGGTTCCTGAAATATTTGTTATAAAAATTCTTGTAAAGACATTTCTTGAGATATATAAAATCTTATGGTTCTTGTAATATTTGTTTTCTTTTAATAAACATGAAGCAATTAAAGAAAGATATTAAAAATTGACTGTCATAAATTTGCAATAATTAACATACCATTCAAGACAAGTAACTGATGGCAAAATAAGGTAATCATCTTATCAACTTGCGCAAGTAATTGATAATAAAATATGACAAGTTATTAATAAACAAATCAACTAATTAAAAGCCTTTACCAACAAGGTATATCTTTCCTAATACCATAATATGGTTATAGAATTAAAGAATAATTAATAGTTTTGATTTTGATATATTTTAAATCTATAGAAATATATAATAATTATGTTTTATCACTTATATTTAATAGAGAAATTTGTATTTAACCGATTTAA